TTCAGATCACTGAATGGAGGACTGTGCACAGGCCTGACTGCTAGCAGCTGTCACAGGCAGTGCCTAAACCATATGGAAAAAAAGTACTTTGGATCCAGAGTGGATGTGAACACTCTTCAAAGTGAAGTCCTCATGGATTATTGTCCTATTTAGAGGGCATTCAGTGCAGTAGGTGAGTTTGTGACAGGAAAACAAATTCACTTGTCTCCTGATATTGTTGACTGGCTCACTTTCATCAAAATTAACCAGTCCTGGATCAGCAATGATTACAATTCCACTGCAGCTGATGCTACCAACTACATTTTTCCTTGTAATCTGGCCTCAAAAAAAGATTTTAACTTTACACTCTACCATTGCTTGCCTGCCATCATTACCAGCTGCTGCTGCTGCTGCTACCTCTGCTGTCCTGCCACCACTACCAGCTTATGTCACATCTCCTGACCTGCCACCATTACCAGATACTGCAATCTCTGCTGGCCTGTCACTATTACCAGCTCCTGCCATTACTGCTGACCTGCCGTTGTCAACATTAACAGCTTCTACAACCTCTGCTGGCCTGCCTCCATTACCAGTTCCTGCCACCTTTGCTGACCTGCCAACATCACCAGCTTCTGCCACCTCTCCTGGCCTGCTAATATTGCCAACTCTGCTCACCTGCCACCATTATCAACTTCTGCAACCTCTCCTGGCCTTCTAGGTCACATGGCTTCTTTAGGCTTGTTCTGGTCCTCTGGCACTCTAAAGGTGCAACACATAATTTTTCTGCAGCTGGGATTCAGCTGCAAAGTTCCTATTTTTTCTGCAGGGTAAATCCTGCATTGCAACCTGGAGATTGTGACCTATTTCAGAAACCAGGCACTGTAGAGGTGCTACATATCGTTTTTTTCTCTGCTATGCACCCACTACAGTGTTCTAGCAATCAACTCTTATATTTAACTCCTCTATTGAAGACTAATAAAGCTACCTAATACTCTCCAGCTAATGTACAATATTTTTATCAATTGTCTCTGAAATAACACTCTCTAATTAATATTTTTGAATAAAACCAGTCTCATCTCTCCCTTAGAAACTGCAATCTAATAAAGCTGCTTGCATACTCTCCAGTGAATGTACAACATTTCTGGCTATTTCCTATGAAATAATATACTCAACTTTGTATTGCTTGATTAAAACCGGACCTGTCTCTCCCTCAAATAAAGTTGCATACATACAGTGCATCGAGTGTTCAATATTTCTAGTTATTTAATGTAAGTTAACATACTTTAATTTTTATTTCTGCATTAAAATCTGCCTCTTATCTCCCTCTAAAATTGTGGCCTAATAATTCTGTTTAGACACTGCTCACTGAATGCTCAATATTTCAGGCTATTTTCTGTAAGATAATACACTCTGTTTTTATTTGTTGATAAAATATGCCATGTCTTTCCCTCCGAAACTGCTGTTCAGTAAAACTGCTTACACTTTAATTTGTATTCCTTCATTTTATCTACCTCGGCTCTCCCTCTGAATTATGGCCTGTACTGTACATTATTTCTAGCTAACTTCTATTTTGGGATAAATGTGCCTTATAAAGTGGTTTACATACAGTGAAATGACTGACTATTTCTTGCTACCTGTACAACATCTCCAGGTGATGTCCCTGAAATACTACACTCAAAATGTATTTCACAATAAACCCTGTTTCATCTCTCTCTTAAACTACAGCCTACTAAAGCTGCTTACATAATTTCAAAGTTTGCCTTGAGACTGTACAATATATTATACATTATAATAGTATATTGTTATTTCATGATAAAACCTGCCTAGTTTTTCTCTTTAAAATAATACACTCCAATTTTTATTTCACAAAACTTGCCTGCTGTTTCCCTCTTAAATTGTGGCCTAGTAAAACTGCTTGCATACTGTGCAGTAAATCTGTACAATATTTCTGGCCTTGTCTCTGAAATACAATGCTGTCATTTTTACATTACAAGTTGAAATTAATCAGATTGGAGTCCTGCTGCAGCTGTATGTAAGGCAGCCCCATGCTCCATAGACTTCAATTGAGTTCGGATTTAGGTTTGCAATAATTGGGCTATACTAAAACTGCAAACTGAATCATACACATAAGCTCATCCTGGGAGCGTATTTTGACATAGAAAGACATAACTTGATATTTTATGGAATTATTACAGTAAAGTTGCTCCAATCTTAATATACCCTGTTGTTTCCAAAGGACAAATCTCTAAATCTTCCTTACGCACAGTGTTACCCCAAATAGGTGTAAAAGCAGTGAATCAATTTATCCCTCAAATGTTCCCTAACAAATCTCCAAGATTTATTCAACACCTGGACAATAGGGGCACCACCCAAGAAATAACTCTACCATAACTAGTTCTCCCACACTTGCACATCACTCAACAAACATGCACTGCATTCAGTTGCCATAGGGGGTGGATTCCTTTACCCCTGCTTGCAAAATGTTGTACCTGTGAGACTATATAATATATCCATGTAAAAGAGGTAGCTATACAACAATAATCTGTTCTTTTTCTCCAAGATTTCTAAAGATAACATTAATTATTTTAAAGGTACGTTTGTAAATTACAAGACAAAGGACGTTTACACCATGAATAACATTATGTCCAAAACTTGATAATAAGTACAACGTAGATCTATATTTAGTGAAATTTATATCTTAGGATTTATAGAAAATGTCACATGTAGATATTTAAAAGAAGTAGCCATCTTAATAGATGTGGCCGAGCTGGGTAAAGGGGATTCCAATTCATCCATTTGTAACAATGCAGACTTAACCACTTGACCTCTAGAAGGTTTTACTCCCTTTATAATCAGGGCATTTTTTGCTATTCAGCACTGTATTACTTTAACTGGCAATTGTCATGCAACACTGTACCCAAATTAAATTTATATCTATTTTCACACAAATAGAGCTTTCTTTTGGGGTATTTCATCACCACTGGGGTTTTTTATTTTTTGTATTATATAAATGAAAAAAGACTGAAGATTTTGAAAAAAAAATCAAAATTATATTTTCTACTTTCTGTTATAAAACATATCCAATAAAAACAAACGTTATAAATTTAGGCCAAAATGTATTCTACTGCATGTCTTTGGTTAAAAAAAAAAATTCCAATAAGAAGTATATTAATTGGTTTGTGTTAAAATTATGGCATCTACAAACTATGGTATATATACTGTGGTGGTGATCAGGACTATGATAGTGTGGGGTGCAATCTGGCACCAACAGACACTGGCTGGGAGGGACACTAACCGACTGACACTAACGTCGCTAGGGAATAGTGATCAGTGATAATACTGTACACTGTACTAATGACACTGGCTGGGAAGGGATTCACTGAGTGCCTAACAAGTGTAATGTGTATTGCTTTTACCCACAGATCTGGCTGTTTTTTCTCCCTGATTTCAGTAAGAAAAAACAACCAGATCACTGTCTGTGTAGAGTTCTGTGTGTTTGTAAACAAAGAACTCTGTGCTGTGATTGGCTACAGCTGAACAGCAGGTTGAGAGCCAAAATCATTGATGGAAACCTGCTGACAAACTCATGCTGTGTCCAATCACAGCACAGGTCAGCAGAGGATGCACGCCCAAAAACTAGGAGGTTCACTGTGATGTATGAGTACATTGCAGTGCCTGGCTGTGTTGTCCACCAGCAGTAAATGTACTGTTAGTGAGTGGCAAGTGGTTAATTACTAAGCAAATCAAGAAAAGACACCAATTATCTTCATTACATTTTCTAAGAATGACACGTATTGCCTAAAAATAAAAGAACATCATCTGCATATAGCACTTGTTTTTTACCTACTCATTTACCTAATTACTTTGTTTAAAACTATTTATGTCTGAGGAATGTCTGATTGCTGCCAATAGATTTAATAACAATGGGAATAGAGGACTGTTGTCAAAGGTGCACCAGTACTGTAATGTTAATATACAATCCTTGCATATTTCACAGGAACAATTTATGGCTAATTTGCTGTTAATAGCACAGCTAACACTAGAGTGAAGTTTCTTATAGCATTTTTTATAGAGCATGTTGGAAACAAAGAGGTACCTGACAAATGCTTGCTACTTGTGGCACCTTCCACTGACTGTGCCTTTGACTTGATTTTTAGAATCAGCATGCGGAGCGATATCATCAGCTCTGAACAATTATAGATCAGTTTATATGCAAACAGCTTACCTTTCCTGATTTCGATGCATAGTCCATGGACACCTTCTCCAACTCATTCCCAGAATCAGATCAGCAGAGGAGCGCAACCTTCTCACACAAATCCCAGCAATCCATAAACATGGTCCAAAAGAGGAGATCCAAAGCCATCAGTGAGCATCAAACAGAGCAATGAGCCAGGAAGCCCAACACTACTTCTGATTACCATTCAAGGCACACCCCTCACGCATTTCATTTTTATTACAAATCTACAATCAGTTTTTCTATATATGCCCCAATATCAGTACTAATACGGTATAGGTTGTAGTTGTTATTATTATTATTTTTTATTGTATAGTATTTTGTTACAGTATGTGTTTTTTCCACTAGGGGGCATGGGGAGGCTGGGGAACAGCTCTATTTTTTCCTCTGCTTACTTTATAGTTACAAAAAAATGTATTTTAGAGTTCTGCTACTATAATACATACGCTGGTTTATAGGATTTGTGAAAGCATACTAAATTAAATGTATTGTATTTAGATTCTTTCACTTATTCAGTAACCTGCTAAATATTTTAGGATGTTCTGTTGCACTGGGTCAGGATCTGAAAAAGATGCCAGAACTTTTTTCCTTCTTTAGGTGTCCTTTTATGAAACAGAGATCAGCGGCGATCCTAAGGATCGTTGTTGATCTCAGATCAATTAGTGGTTTAGGAAACAGAGATGATCAGCGGAGAACATGTTCTTCGCTGATCATCTCCGCACACAGATGGCCAGTGTATGAAGGAGCGATGTCAGCTCTTCACTGGCGATCTGTGTTCTCCCTTCAGATTCTCCAGCCAAGAGCTGGAGAATGGGGGAACCACAAACGAAGCAGCGGTAACAGTGGCGGACTGACAACTCATGGGGCCCCCGGGCAATAGGGGATTATGGGGCCCCTGTGTCCTTGCCCAAACTCAAAAAAGCCTATGAAAAAGGTACCAGGGGCATCTCATGGGGCCCCCTACTGACCCCAGGCTCTTGGGCAGTGCCCGAGTTTCCAAATGGTCAGTCCGCCCCTGAGTGGTAATTTACCACTACTTAGTAAATGGTGTTTGACTGATCTCTTACTGTAATCTCACGAGATTATAGTAACAGCAGCCGTTTTCCAGCGTTCAAAGCGTTTGAAGATTGCTTCTCTCTTCAGTTGGAGAAGAGATCTACACCGCTTCATCAAAAGGCATTCAGAGGAGAACTCTCTCCCCTGAGAATGCCAGAGAACTGAGCAATGGTCATTTACCGCTCCATGATAAAAGGACACCTGTGTGTTTGTAATAATTACTACTGGGAACCATATTTTTGGCGTATCAGAATGATAACACATTTAGACACCCAGATCACAGTGCAAACATATCAGCATTTGGGGCAAAAAAAAACTGAGTATGCCCACCTGCATATACTTTTAATTCATGAAACATGTACATTTCCCATTTGGTATCCTATTTAGTCATCAAAGAATACATAAAGGTGATCTACAGTCACAACATACACTGTCATTATATAACATCAGTACTGTAATAGCAATACAAACAATAGTTACATTTGACTCTCCTAGATTGTAAACTCTAACCAGCAGGGTCCTCTGTTTCCTCTTGTACCAAATTGTATTGTAACTGTAATGTCTACCTTCATTTTGTAAAGCACTGCACAAACTGTTGGTGCTATATCAATTTTATATAATAATAATAATCCATTATACTTACTTGAAAAATCTCCTTTCATGTTGTGAGTTCTGTCTGTCTGCTGGCCATCTCATCCAACAACTTTCTGAATTCCCTGCATGCTTTGCAGCTTCCCTTTTGCTATTTACTTTAAATTTCTAAGGAATACATGTCCCATGGTACCTTTCTGTCTGCAAGCAGTGATTCATGTACTGATTCTGCCTCCTGAAACTCCTCCTCTCAGCACATCTGTATTTCAGAAGGCAGGCTAAGTGGAATGTGTGACACAGCAGTGCCTACTCAGAGAGCATAGTGAATACGTGTCACAGAATTCAGGAAGTAAATAATATAAATAATAATAATAAAAATAAGTTTAGAAACTTCGAGATCAGGCATGATGAGTAGGCTAGAAATAATTGAAATAACGTATGGAAATGAATATAATGATTTTACATTTAAAGGGTAACTCCACTTTTGTGGGAAAAAAAATAGCAAATTAAAAAAGATTATAGCTTATTGCTACACAAGCCATATTGTAATTTATTGTTATTAAAAAATGACCTTTCCTTTTCAATCTGCACTGCCATAGTTTTCTTTAAAATTTAGTGCAATGTGGGGTGTGGCTTGAACATGGAGGAGTGAGGAAGCAGAGCGCTCGAGCTCTGCTCAGACTGCTCAGACAGCAGCCTTTTCAGCTCTCATCAGCTTTTTTGTCCCTACGTCAGAGAGCCTAATCTCAACCTCAGGGGACCACTACTCCTTGCCATAACTGCATAGAGTCTTTCTTCCTTGGGACCGAGCGGACATGAGGAGAAGCCTTGAAGATGGTGCCAGAGTGGGATCGGGACTGAGACACTGTAGCCTCTGCAACAGATCGCTGCATCTCCTATTCCATCTCCCATGCTGGTGAGTGAGTCGGCTAACCCCGCCTCCCGCTGCTCCACAGCTTCTCAGGATCTGGGCTCAGACATGTTTGATATTATTGGGGATAGAGACCTTAAACAGCACATCTGGACTCTCCCCACTAAAGATGACCTGGAATGCTTTGCCACCAGAGTGGAAAAGGCCTTCAAGCAGGACATAGAGTAGCTCTAGTCGGACACCTCTCAACTTGGTAACTGGCTGGAAACACTTGAGCAGAAATTTGAGGAAGCCCTCCCTGCTCTTTCACTACTTAAACAAAAGTGTGCAGCATGAGATCAGAGGATTGAGGCCCTTCTTTGTCAATTAGATGACTATGAAATTTGCACTCATAGGTCCAACATACATATTCGAGGGCTGCCTTAGGCAATGGCTGCCAAGGATATTGTTCCAACTCTCCAAGGAATTTTCGGAGAAATCCTGGGCCTCTCCTCATCGGAAACTGTTGAAATTGACAGGGCCCATCAGGCACTCGTCCTCCCTCACAGGACTCATCTAACCCCAGGGATTGTATCTGTAAACTGCATAATTATCCCCTTAACCCTTTGAGGACCATAAGATTACTGAACGCCAAAAGAATCAATTTTTTGTTTTTAAAGTTCGTACACTTCAGTTGCTGTAACTAAGCCATTTCATGAAATAATTGGCAAAAAGCTAGATCCATTTGTTGATAACGAATATTTTGACTCAAACCAAAAAAAAAAAGTATTTTAAGTTTTTAATCAGATGATACAGGCAATTAAAAACATGGGACAAATACGTCCCTAATCAGCAAATCATGCAACGCAAGCAGAAAAAGCCTTATTTCGACTTTGATGTAGCTCACTTTTTTTCTATCAGGATCTATCCAGGAGCACCTTAATGCAACGCAGGGTGCTTTGTCCACATCTGGAGGGACTGTACAAGGTGGGCATTACTTACACATGGAGGCTTCCCTTTAGTCTACAGGCTCAGTAGGAAGGCCAGTTTGTTATTCTATGCACCAAGGATGATCTCCCACATTTCCTAACTCAATTAAGACTCAAGCCAGTGGATTTCCCAGATTGGCGTCTCTCCACGGACGTTCAAGTGCCTTCAGTCCCTTCACCATAGATACCCATTTGTTCTAAGGGCCATTGTAGAAGTTGCAAGAAGTAGTCATCCAGCATCACTTCACCACATCCATCTTCGGGAGACTGAGATGCTTCCCACTTTACTATGTCTCCATTGAATGTCCGTGTGGACATTATATTCTATGGTCCCTTTTCCTGCGAACATTCTTAAGTTCCGATTAAAGTGTGATAAATATGGCCTTCACCCCCACTGCTGCTTTTCCACTGTTGAAACCCCTTGTAGGTCAGGGCTTAACCGTTTTCATTCTGAGTGGTGCAGTGGGGGTCTTGAACTAATGCCCCTGATTTGATATTCTGTTTACTTTGCTTAGGCCGGGGTGGAGCTCTGTTGCATCCTGAATGTCTGACTACTTTCCCCACGTAGGTTTACCTCATTTGGGGGAATGCCCTGCTAGGGGTACCTTGCTCATGCCTAGATGCCACATATTTCCTGGTCTCGGGCCAAATTCACAGTTTCTACATGACCCATGGTCGGTTACCCAAGCTATCGGCAAATGTTTACATTTATATGTTTTTCTATGTTGCTGGTTATTTACCCTATTTTTGTGTTTTTAGGATGCAGTTTTCTCCACCACACTTTGCCTGGAAGCTTTTGCTTGGTTGCTTGCACAACCACTCCTTTCACTCCCATGGCTATGGTTAAGGTAGTGTCATACAATATTCGTGGTCTCTGTTCCTCTAATAAATGTAGCAGGTTGTGGCTGGAGCTGAAACAGATGGGGGCACATGTGCTATTTCTGCAGGAAACTCACTTTCACTCACACCTCTGTCTCAAAACTCCCTACCCATCTTTTCACTCAGTGGTTTCTCATAAATTCACCAATGGCAAAGTCTCGTGGCACTGCTATCACCCTTCACAAAAATTGCCCTTTTCAACCCTTAGAATACTATGAGGTCCTCAGGGTAGATATTTTTTTCTAAAAGGGACTATCCAGAGAAATACAACTTTGCCACCCTCTATGCCCCAAACTCTCTTCAACTTACTTTCATAGATTCAGTCCTGGAGCGCTTAGCGTACTTTAGGGAAGGAAAACTGATTTTGGTAAGAGATTTCAACTTTAGTCCTGACCCTTTTTTAGATACCTCTCAAAATTGTCCCACACACTCATATGCTTTTCTAAAAAAATTTCTGTAAATCTTTGCAAAATTATTCCCTGGTGGACAGTTGGAAGGCTATGCATGCATCCAAGAAGGATTTTAGCTATTATTCAACGTCCATGACACCTATACTAGACCTGACCTATTGTTTGTAGACCACTACAACTTAGATATTCTGATGGGCTCCACCATAGAACAGATCACCATCTCTGACCATGCTCTGATCACGCTTTCCCTCCTGTTGCCATGCTTGGCCACTAGGTTTAATGAAAACCTTTTGGAAGATGTTTCAGTCATGTCAAAATTCATGGAAACTCTCACACATTATTTTCCTGAAAACACCATGGAGGGGGTCAGTGACTGTGCTGTTTAAGAGGGACACAAACCTGTTGTTTGTGGCGTATTTATTGCACTTGACACTAAGCTTAAGAATGAGAGGCAGGTGGACCTTCAACAGGTCCTCACAGCCTTACAGCAGGCAGAGCTACATCATAAACATCAGTCAACTCTGGAGGCACTACAGCGCCTCACGGAACTTCGCAAGCTATTTTCTAAACTTCTTGATCAATGCATTTGCCGGCGTTTGAGGTTTGTCGCTCATAAATACTATGAACATGGCAATAAATGCAGCAGTATGCTAGCAAGAGCCCTCCGCAGGCACCGAGTCTCTATTTCTGTTCACAAACTTAAAGCTCACTCTGGGGCAGCTGTTGTATACACTTCCAAAATCGCATCTTTGTTCCACGATTACTATGCTGCACCTTAAGATTTGGACTCTGCCAATGCAGACTTGAAGCTTTCTCGCATTAACTACCTCTTGCCCTCTTGACTATCTCTCCTCCTCAGGTGTCCATTTTCTCTACCATGAAAAACGGGCCAATCTAGAGTTGCCTATAACCCCAGTGGAATTATTGACTACTGTGAAATCCCTACCCAACAGGAAAGGTCCTGGCCCTGATGGCTATACTAAGGCCTATTATTTGAAGTTCTTTTTGCGGCTGCAAACACGCATGTAAATATTTCAATTCACTTGTCTATGGGGACAATATCCCTCAGGAGGCCCTCCTGGCGCATGTCACAGTTCTCCTGAAAGAAGGGAAAGACCATACCTTACCTCATAATTACTGCCCAATCTCATTATTAAATACAGACTTGATGATTGTTTCTAAGATTCTCGCCAATTGGTTGAAAGATCTGCTCCCCTCGATAATTCACCCAGACCAGATTCAT